TATAAATAAATTATCAGTTTTTAAAAAATAAATAGCTTTAAAATCTTACTATTCTAAATATTTATATTAGAATATACTTTCTATTATTTATTATAGAATATAGGCTATTATTAAACTGCAATATACTAAACAGAAAATAAAAATATAAATAAATATAAAATAATTTTTTATTATTTAGAATCTTAATTCTAATTATTTTTATTTTTATTTTTAGAATTTATAAGATCTGGGCAGATCGGGTTTTATTATATAATTTTATAATCTATTTTTTCTTAAATAGATTAGATTCGACAGTCTCTGTAATTTAGATTTAATAATATTTAGAATTATAGTTTTTCTATTTAAATTTAATTAATCTTAAAGTTCTGTTAGCTATATTTATAGCTTTTAAATTATTATATCCTACCAAATAAATATAATTCTATAATTAAGAAATATATTCTATTTAAATAATTTAATTTTAGAAGACTGAAAGTCTATTTAATAAATTAAATTTTTAAAATATTTTTATTAATATATTTAATAAAATATTTTCAGAGTATTCCAATCCAGTATAATAGTATAATACTATTTTTTTAAAATTATATTAGAATTTCTAAACAGTTAGTCTATAATTTTTTATATTTTTTATATTATACTTACTAATATTTATTAATTTTTATTTATTTTATAATTAATTATTTATTTAATATTATTCTACTCTATTCTATTTTTTTTATAGAATTATATACTATTTTAATTATTAATATTCTGTATTTCTTTTTATAAAATCTTTATAAATAATTTAAAAAGATTTTTTATTAATACTTTCTTATTTCGAATATTTAAATAAATAGATTCTAATAAAATCTAATTCTAATATTAAAAAAATATTTATATTAGATTTTTTATAGAAGTCAGCTTGTACTTTCCCAATCTTAACTATTTTAATATAGTATATATAAAATATTAACTTTATATAAAGTATTATAAAAATTTTTATTATTTTTAAATTATAAAATATTATTTTATATACTTAAAAATCTTAATAATACTGTTACTACTTCTTAGCCTACAGATATAGAATAGAGAGATAATTAATCTAATATAGAAATAAATTAGAAGTTATTTATATAATATTTAAAATAACTGTTAGTATTAAAATTTAATTATTAAATAATCTATTTTTAATATTAGTTATATACAGTTCTATAATATACTCTTTCTATTATATAACAGTATTTATTATTTTAAAACTATTTTTTACTACTATAATTATATTCTAACTGTATTATAACTGTATTATAACTGTATTACAACTGTATAATAACTAATAATTACTCTTAATAACTAAATACTACTATTATTAACAGTAAAAAAGGCTCTATACAGACCCCCTTGGCCTGCTATGAAGCTTCTGATGTACATACCAAGCTCCTAAGGAGTATTTAAATTGTACACTATATTCAAGTATACCCCTATTCTTCTTGTGCCGCCTCCACCCCTCATCCCCAACCCCTCCTCCCGTCAGAATCTCTCTAGCAAACGCCAGACGTCCACAACTAGACACACCCAACCCCTCGCGCAAAAGAGAAACCCGACGTCCCTCATGTAGCATCGTCCATTGCAAAGCATCCTCCACGCATGATTGTCTCGGGATCAATCTACCGCTTCCCCCACCGAGCATCCCTCACCCCCCATCCCATATCCACCGCGACCGCCGTGGTCGTCAGCCCCGCCTCTGCCTCCCCGGCCATCCCCGGCCATCCCCCCACCTCCAGCGTCCGGCCCACCAGGTTAACGGAGGATGTCGGCGTGCCGTACAGAGCGTGAAGCCCGGGGACCCTTCGCCACCGCAGCAGTCGGGAGACCTGGGTATGCCCGGCGCGGTCGCGTTCGGCGACGAGGATCGCGTCATGCTGGCTGCTGTGGTGGGGCGGGTGGTCGAGACTATTCCAGTCCCCGTGCAGGATATGGCAGGAGCGCAGGTGTGGGCCATCCATGATATCGAGACGGTGGAAGAGGGTGGATATATTTGTGGCATCTAGGATCATGATGCTGTTATCGGGCCTCTGGTCGGGGTGAGGGGTAGACTGTCGAGTACCGAAATTCAGCTCCAGATGGTGGAGGTGCGGGAGGCGGCGGAGCGGGATGAGGAGGCTGTCAATGTCACTGTCATACTGCGAAGAGGGGAGAGATAAGCCCAGAGACCGGAGGTTGGGAAACTCCTCGGGGAGTTGATACAGCTGGGCTGGCGCAAGAGTCGCCGCATCGCCGGATGATGATGTCCTCAGGCGCAGATGCTGCAGGCCCGCCCCGTGTGCCTCGGCCACCACCGCAACCATGTCCGCGGGCAGGTCCACTCCGATAAATGTGCGCAGCGTGCGGGGCAGTCTCCGGAGGAAGGCCTCCAGCAGCCCGGCGCGTTGCCGCACAGCCTCCGGATTGATTCTTCTGTCCCTGTGTGAGAGCCGCGGCATGCCCAGCTCGAGCCAGACCAGCTCGCGCAGCTGCCCTCCCCCGCTGAGAGCAGGCAGGAGGTGAATCCAGTCCACCTCGACGAGCGAGAGGGACCGCACGCCCTCCCAGCGCAGCTCCGTCGCCCAGAGACGACTTTGCGCGGCGCCGAACCGCATCCCCCGGAACGCGAGATGCGCCAGCGTCCCCGGCAGCCGATCCCCGTCCTCGAGCGTGATCAGCCCTCGTTCCTCGATCTCGGCCGCTGTTTCTTCCTCCTCCTTCCCCGGCGCCTCGTTCGCCCAGCGCTGCCCCCGTCGCCACGTCGGCCGTCCCGTGAGCGACAGATGCGTCAGCCGCGGACTCCGAACAATGAGTTCCTTCAACGACGCCGGGCGGTGCACATTCCCCCGACCCTGGCCCCGACCCTGGCCCCGATTTGGGACCTGGTCATACTCGCCGCGGTACCACTCCGCCGCGACGGACCGGAGACACGCGAGCTGCGGAGGCCCCCGGCTCGGCTGATGCACGTGTACCCTCTGGATCAGCGCGACCTGGGAACTGAGGATATGCACCTCCGTTGTTGGGGAGACCTCGTAGAGGCGCCGGAGAATCACCCCGGGCATGTATGTCTCGTACCACCAACTGTGAGCCCCCCACAAAAAAACGTAGTCAGAGAGCAAGCCCACCTGCACATCAAAAGAAGCCGGGAATCTCTCACTAGAATTGCCGAAGCTCCTTCACCGCCCCAAACAGATAATACAGCATCGCCTCCTGGGCATCCGACATGACGTCGACGCCGCCACCAAACCCCCCTCCCCACGGCTGGTGGCCCGTCACGACGATCGCCCGCACAAAGGCGCAGCACCGCACGGGCAGATCGGGTGCGGACCACGGGCGTTTCGCCTCCTCTCGCGCCCAGAGGTCCATCCCGCCGTTGAACTCGAAATGCAGGGTCCGGAATAGGGCTGTTGCGGCGACGGGGTATAGCGCTTGGTTAGTTTGCGCAAGGGCTTTCAGGGCGGTGCGGTCGGTCCAGAAGAGCTTTCGGTTTGGTGGTTAGTTTGGTGGGCTGGGGAGAGGGGGAGCGAGGGGAGAGCGGGTTGCGTACGAAGGTTACGATGTGATGCCAGATTTCGGGGGGGAGATTCCCTGGTAGGGATGGGGATACTGGTTCGGCGTCCATGGTGTTTATGTTGGTGTTTGGTGGGTGTGGGTTTGATGGGGCGCGGGTCGGAGAGAAAAAGGAACGGGGGAGGAGAGGTGATCTTATAGCGGAAGACGGGGCGGGTCGAGCCCTAAATGGGCTTCCTGGCGGAGAGGCATTCACCTGAGGATAACGAGGACGGACCACGAGTGATGTCATGAATCCTGCTTTAAAGTCAATCGGATCAGAGTAGGTTTCTTGAATCAGCAGTCTACGATTGCAATATCTCATGCGAGATGAGTCACAGCACTACTGGGCCACACGAGCTACTCATCGTGTTTGAGAACCACGACCATGTCCCTACGCTGGCATATGAGATATACCGCAAAACTCAGGTATCGGCCTTCTGTACCGAAGCGAGGTTCTTGTTTCTCACTATGTACATTTCCCGAAGATCTAAATATATAACTCTACATCCCAGCCCCAAATCCATACGTCTAAGGCGCCGCCGCCGTCGTCACCGTCATGGTCGTCGTCCCCGTGGTCATGACACACAGCTTCTCACACTCAATCTGCACATCAGAAGAAGCTTCCTCCATACACTCGGCGCGGGCCTTAGGGGTGCCGGGACACGAGGCGATGCGGAAGTTGAACAGGAAGGTAACGCACGAGTAGTAATTGCCGGTGACGCACAGATCGCTGAGAGCGGTGGTGGTGATGACCTCGGTTTCAGTGGTGGTGGCGGTGACCAGCGTCGTGCTGGAGCCCGCGCACTCGGTCAGCTCGTATCCCGCGACGTCATAGATGGTGGTGGACTCGCAGGCGATCACGTCGCTGTAGAAGTCGGTGAAGGTGTAGGGGTACGGGTTGTTGGCGTAGTCGATGGAGACGGTGGTCGAGGCGCCCGCGCAGCTGGTGACGGTCGTGCCGTCGCTGACCTTCTTGGTTGTTGAGGCGCACGCGATCTGGTCGCCCAGCGAGTCCGTGAACGTGTACGGGTACTTGTTGGTCGAGGTCGATGTCGGCAGCACCGTGTAGCCGCACGGGTTGCTGCCTGTCATCGTCGGGATGTTGCTGGCCGCCCCCGTGCAGACGCAGAACGCCCCGCTAATCCCCGCGTCCGGGTCCTCGCCGATGACGCAGAGCGGGTCGCTGGAGGCTGAGGCGCTGGCCGTGGTTGTGGGAGACGAGCTGATGGTACACGCCGCCGCCGTGGTCTCGGTGTCGGTCTCGTCGCGCCGCTTCAGCGCCGGGTTGGCGTCGGCGGTGAAGTCCCAGGTGATGCTTGTGGAGCACACGCTGGAGTACCTGCTTTTCAGGGCCGCGTAGCCCGTGAGCATATCGTTGGCTTCGTCCAGCGCGTTGGTCAGGCCAGAGTTGCCGGCAATGGTCGTCAGCAGCGCCGACTCCGCGTCCATCACCGTGATCAGCGTGTCGATATACCCTTGCACCGTCGTCGTGACCGTCGAGTAGGTGTTCATGAAGTTGGTGAACTGCACCGCAAACTTTTTGGTGTCGGTGTCGGAGTACGTGCTATCGAGGTTGGCGCTGATCCAATTGTCCAACGCAAGCCTGGTAAGGGAGTGATTTCCCGTTAGTATAACTACAAAACACACACCCGCATAGCGAAGACTCACATCTTGTTGTAGATCCGTGCGTTGGTTGATTGCATGTAGTCATTGACGTTAGTATCGGTGATGACCACACACGAAGCCGCCATCTGCCAGAGCAGCTCCATCTTGGAGCGGAACTTGGTGCGCGCTCCCATAGATTGCAGGGCATTCGTCTCGGCCTTTCCCACCCAAGGCGTGGTTGCCTTGATGGCTCCAACTCCCTTCGTGTTGGTCCAATTCTTGAAAGTCTTGCCTCCGTAGTCCTTTTTGGCAATCGCCGCCTTGAGGCGATTGAGTACCTTGCTGATTCCAATAAACTCAAAGTAGTCATCCGATGCAATGGCCGAGTAGATCTAACAGAGAGGAAAACCCATGAAAGTTAGCAGGAGAATGTATTTGGGCCTCGACGGATACTCACGCTCTGCAATCGATTGCCGCAGCCGAAGAAGATGACTTCGGCGTCGGCGCACGAGAAGGTGCTCGTGGTGGCACCAGTAAACATCTGGCTGAAGAAGTCCTTCAGCCATCCCATTTCCCCTGAGACAAGTGATCAGTTTCGCGTCGACTTTTCCGAAGGTAAGCTGAGGCGAGGAGATACTCACAGGCATGGTCCATCGTGGCCACGTCACCAAAATCCGCAGGCAGGTCAGCGACAGCCACCTGGGTCACTTCCACCGCACAGCCAGCGGCCGTGGTGGTATGATACCACCGCGGCATGTCCGTCTGCGAGCCCACAATCAAACCGTCCGTCTCACTGTTATACCAGTCGTATCCGTTGGTGTAAGGGGGCACGGTGACGGTGGTATCCGCACCCAAAGCGCATTTGCCCACCGATTTGATCGTCTCGCGCTTGGCCCCGTCGCGTTTTCCGATAAACTTGCCATGTGCACCTGGCGCCCTGGCTGGCGCGGTGGTCATCCTAGCGCTCGCGGGCTCAGTCCTTCGGAGTCCGGTCACAGTCGCAGTTGCTCTTGCTGTTGACGTCGGCATCACCCCGGTGCCGGTCATCCGGGGAAGATCCGCGGCCACTCCACGACGTTTCAGATCGATGGACGGCCAAGCATACTCGGATTCCGCCAGCATCGGCCAATCGTCCTCGTACGAGGCGTCATCGTCGCCATAGAACGGGATAAAGTGCCACGCACACGCCTGGCAGCCCGAAAAGCTATCATAGTTCAGCGCCAGGTCGGCCCCCGTCGCCACGGCGGGACAGGCAGCCGTGGTCTCCGAAGTGAAGGTCTTCGTTGTGGCCGTCATATCGCACCCGGTCACCGAGTAGCAGGTGGTCGAGGTGCAATCCGTGGTCGCAATGGCGGATTCGGTTGCAATGGTGCAGTACACGTCGCAGTTCGAGGTCGTGGTCGTGCTGGAACATGTTGTCGTGGTCGAGGAGTCATCGTCGTCGCCGCCATCGCCACTGCCTCCACCAGTGATGTCTACCCCGATGGGGCAGATAGGGCAGGCAGAGTCACAGAACAGCACACCTATCACACAGGCTCGAAGGTTAGTTTCGCTGCAACATGAGGAGGAAGGGAGGATAATCACTGACAGCCAGTACCGCATCCCGCACAGCCCGCTGTTGCCGTCGGACTTGGGGGCTTGCCACTCGTCCATTTGGTGGTCTTGCTGTTGAGCTTGGTATCGTGAGTGGTATCTGTGGTGCTGGGATACACGACCGGTGTCACCGTCGTAGTCACGGGAGGCAGAATAGTTCCCGAGATCACCGTAGTTGAGCCACCCAGAGTCTCGGTGACAGCCGGCTCCACGTAAGTGTAGTCGCCCCAGACGACGACGTTGGAGGTCTCGGTAGCGGTGGTAGTGGCAGCCGACACCACGGTGGTGCCTCCGATGGTACTGGAATTATGGTCAGTCACATCCAACAGCCGGGGTTGAACGGGGGTTGCGGGCACTTACGGAGTCCAAGTAATAGCAAACGGTGATGGCTCAACCGAGGAAGTCAGCCAGATCGTTCCAGTGGTGCTGCCATTGGGGAGGTTGACGCCCCAGACAGGAATTGCGTTCGTCTGCACCGGGGGAATGCTGATGATGGTTGGGAACCAGTAGCTAACGTGAGAGGTGACTGCCGTCACATCCCCACCACTGGAGGCGGACGTGGTCTCAGTCACCACGGTGGTGTAGGTCAGGGTGGTAGTCCAGGGGGGTAGGGTGATGGTTGTCGTGCTGCTGAGGGGCTGAGGGGGCCAAATCAACGAACATCCGGGAACGGCCGTCACAGATGGGCTGTCCTCGTCCCAGATCGATGGATCAATGTACACTTCGCAGCTCGATCCCTCCGACGCCGAAGTCGTCCCGTTGGAGGTCAGCAGGTCGATCGCCCAGTCAGCAATTCCCAAGAAGTTGTAGCCCTCGTAGAGTTCGGCGCGGCTCGCTTTAATATCATCGTCCATGTAGCCCGCCCACTGGGTGTCGTTCCAAACCATGATGTTGGAGTTCGAATCTTCGTCAATGTACGTATAGACCTCCTCCTCTTCCGCGATCCCTGCGAGCTCGGCGTTGGAGATATACCCAGCAGTGTCCGTGCAAGCACCTGGAACCGCTCCCGAATCTGGACCGGTGAAGGTGCATTCGGGGCCGTAGCAATCAGCCTCAGTCATTTGGAAGGATCGAGCGTAGCTCGCTACTCCCACAGCCACCATATTCGAGGGCACACCCGCCTTGGTGATCATCGATAAGGCACTGACAGTCTCCGTCAAGTTCACGTGCGACCGCAAGCAACCGCCTTGGGGACAGCCCGGATCAGCGTACGTATTATTCCAGTCCCATTGCCCGTGCAGATCGTAGGCCATCAGAACAATATAATCCACCACCTCACTGATGGCCATAATGGGAATGCCCTTCAAGTACCAAAACGAGGAAGGCGCAGTTGTCGAGATGGTCTTATCCGGGGCATCAATCGCCATCTGCATCTGCAGCTCCAGAAGAAAGAGAAAGAAATTGGTCCCGTCATCCGTACTGTCGGCAGGAATATCTGGAATATCCGGCTCAGCAGGATACTCCCAGTCCCAATCCACACCATCCAGATCGTAGGTGGTGAGTAGATCAATGGTATTCGTAATCAGGGTAGCCCGGTTAGTGCTATCGGAGACTGCGGACCGAAAGATATCGTACGTGTCCGCGTCGGTCGAGAAATCCCATCCACCCACAGTGATGATGCGCTTGACTCCATCCAACTCGACAAAGTCATTCCATTGATCTTCCAGGCTGGAGATGTTATAGGACAGGTCTGCATTCAAAGTGGCGAAGGACATGTGGATATGGGTGTATAGACTCGTATCGATATCCGCAATCATGGTACGCATACAGGCGCGCTCCACATCGTAGCCCTCGAAATATCCGATCTTAAAGACTTCGCTGGGAGCGTCACTCTGTACAATCTCGGTTCCACAGTTCGAGATACAACCATTCGTGTTGTTCGCGGCCGTGCCCGGGTTGCCCGTGGTTGACTCGGTGGGGGTACAGAACTCTGCCGTAATACCACATTGCCCCCAGATATCGCAACAGGCGTTCAGCGGGCACTCGTTCAGGGTACTTAGATTTGTTCCATATGGAACACTCACTGTGCCATTTACTTGCGGCCCGCAGACGGCGTTGGCGATCACCGCAGGCATCGGGGGATAACCCGAGCTCAGACACATGTATTCACCGACGAGAAGATCACCGCAGCCCAACCAACCCCATGTCTCGTTATTGTAGCTCTCAATCTCGTCCGTGGTCAGAGTATATGTGGCGGCGAGGACGTCGCAAGAGTCGCCGGTCTGAATCAGGTATGAGTAGCAATAACCATCTGCATCAGGCGAGGGGGCATAATCTGGAGCGGATCCCTCCGTGCAACAGATATACTCGCCCACGGTCAGGTTCGAGCATAGGGTGGAACTGGGGTTGTAGGTACTGAGCTCAGTCGCTGTAATGCCACACTCGGTCGCCAGTGTCGCACACGTATCCCCGGAAACCACCTGCACTGCCGTACAAGTCGTGCTGTCATCGTCATCGTCACGCGAGCGAAGCTGGTTGGGGGCATACCGCTGACGAGCCCACAGGCTGGTGGTGTTGGTTCGGGCGTGTGACACGGTGGGGATCGAATAGGTAAGATTCTGCCAGACAGTGCTATCATCCAGAGAGGTACTGCAGCTACTGTTGCGCCACGTCTGCACCGCGGTTTGAGCAGCCGACAAGTCTCCGCTGGCACTGATGATAACGCCGAACGCGTACCGGGCACTGTGCTGACTGCTGCAGAGCTGCACTATTAAAGTTTCGGAAACCCCCTTGTCTTGAATCTCTTCAATGAGCGACTCGAGAATGGGAGCAAGAAGGTTTTGGCTGTGCAAGCTGCTGCCCATATACAAACCGACCGCGGTTTGTCCTGCGAGGGCAAAATTGATGGTCTCATTGCACGCAGCCGACGGATTGAGTGTCTCGTAGGCCAGCAGCTGGGTCAACGCGGCGATCGCGTCGGTATCAGGGGATGCTGCTGACGAGGCCGTATCGCGGGACATTTGGAGAGAGGAGACCACGGAGGTCATGTTGGTAGGCATCTGACAGGAAGTACTTCCAGTTTGGGCGACGGTATCAGCAACCAGATCCGCCGTGCAGCCACGAAGACCGACTCGACTCTGAGACTGATTGACCGTGGTGTATAGAGCAAATTGCAGTAACATTGTCTCATCACACAGAGAGAGCCGGTGGACGCCGGGGTAGACCGGCCAGGCCGACGGATCGAGTCCCAGCTCAGTACAACTTCCTGGACAAGCAGCGCGAAGGAACTCCCATGACCGCGACGGAGTGTAATTTCCCGCCACCACGGCAGCTTTCAGGGTCTCCAAGTCGACCGTGGCCTTTGGCTCGGAAGCTGACCGTGTACTGATTGGGTTGGCACTGAGAAAGGCAGACAAGGCCGACTGAGCATCGACACTGTCTGCGACTACCCCCGGACCCAGCAGAACTAAGCCAGCCAGTAAGGCTGGAGTCATGCGAGGGAGCTTCATGGTAGCTCAGACCTCGAAGAAGGGTGTATTGTTTGATCAAGAGAGAGGACTGAGTAAATGAAAGTATTCAAGCAAAAACAAAAAAAAGGGAAGAGAGAGAGAATGACAGAGAGACAGACAGAAAAGAGTGACAAAGAGAGAACGTGGGAGGCTATAGGAAATTCAGGGTCAACATAGTGACTGTGAAGAGCTTGATGCAATGACAAAAACAGTGCAGCGGGCAATGCTCTCGCTTTATACCATCCTCAAAGTCGCCTCATCTCGCGCACACCCCTCCGCCGTCAAGGCTGTAGATACTAACACCGCCTCAGAGGACATTACTCGACGCAACGCTAAAGCACCACATAACCACACCAGACGCCATCGTCTGTAAGTTGACTTACGCAACACAATCAATCCATACTGGACCAACGCAAGGCTATCCTCTCTTTTCATTTTCCGGGTGGAACCTATGCTTTGGCTACTATTGCAGGAGCAGACTTGAGCCAGCGGCATGCATATATCTGCCCCGCCTTCACGCGACTTCGGCAAACCACGAGGCATTCGCCGAGTTAGAAATGAAGTTAGACCGAAAGAAATTTAGTCTTTGGCCCCCAAATTGCCTATTCCACGTGCCGTGAAAAATTGAGAGATCAGACAATCGATCAACCATGTATTCCATATATCGCTAGCTCTGGGACTAACATTGAGGCTAGCTCCGTCCTGCAGGATGCCCAGGATGCCCAGGATGCTTTTGCCTCCTTGTCATTCTAGCATAGACTATGGTTGGCTCTTGGCTGCCGTTGGGGCTCCGCGCTTAGCGAGCTTAGCAGAGCTTCGCTTATTGTATTGCAGCTTGGCAGGGGGAGACTATGCCGAGTCAGGCAGTCAATGCCGGCCCTGAGTGCCAAGAAGTTACTAGGACTGTTCCTAGTACTGTTCCTAGTACTGTTCCTAG